TGTCGAAATCTGTCTGCAGTAAGACGGGCCTCTCGCTGTTCGTCCGTTTCAAGAGACCGAATATTTTCAATTCTTAATCTTTCATTAGACAAACTTATTAATCGTTCTTGTCTCAAAGAATTGTAATATTCGCGTCTCGACTCTAGTCGTTACTCATGCTCATGTTCATCTTCAAGAGATCGAATAATATTATGGTGCACCCTATCATTTGTCAATCGGTCTTCATATTGAGTAAAAGTTTCAGATTCTCGAGATAAAATATGACGTTCGCGATCAGCTGTGAGACGTAATTCCCTCTCAGTGTAGGTTTCGGACTCGCGAGATAATGTATGCCGTTCGCGGTCAGCTGTGAGACGTAATTCCCTCTCAGTATAGGTTTCGGACTCACGGGATAGTACATGCCGTTCGCGATCAGCTGTGAGATGTAATTCCCTTTCAGTGAAGGTTTCGGACTCACGGAATAGTACATGCCATTCGCGATTAGCTTGTGAGACGTGATTCCCTCTCAGTGTAGGTTTCGGACTCGCGAAATAATGTATGCCGTTCGCGGTCAGCTGTGAGATGCAATTCTCGTTGTGAAGCAGTTTCAGCTTCTCGGGATAACACATGTTGTTCTCGGTCAATGGTAAGCCTTAGCTCTCGTTGAGAAGAACTTAGAGACGCCCGTGATGTAGCTCGTCTCGCTCTGTCAGCTGCTAATCGCATCTCTCTTTCTGGAGAGCTTTCATTGGCTCGAGAAGTTGAGGCACTAACTCTCATATAGTTTAACCGATGTGCTCTTCCCTCTGCCGATTCTTGAGAACGCCCATTTTTCATTCTCTTAGCTTCTCTAGAATTTCGAGATAAAGATTTTAGGTGGCATTGTGTATTTTATTTTTAATCGACGGCATTCAGTTACCTAACAAAATAATAGATCCTAACTATAGCTACATATGACTAAGTTCCGACTACATCTAAAACAACGGAACTGATATTTTAAAAGACAAATTAAAATTGGAGGGATTACATTCATTAATAGTACGGGGATTCCCCTTTCAAAAATGAACCGCGGGCGATGGCACCATAGAGTTTATACATATTACAACAGGGCTACCATCATAGGTTTTTTTTATTATACCATTTTTCCCCGAATTTCCCTAAATCCCTGTCTTATTAAAATAATCCCTAGTCATATACAATTTCACTTAGTTTTCCCTAAAAAAGGGAAAAATCCCTAAAAGTGGAAACACTGTATGAAGCTCGCACTCTGACCCTCCGCCTTTTTATACCTCCCGCCGCGAGCCGCGTCGAGCGCGGCGACCGTTACACGAAAATAATCCTTATAGCATGATTCAGTATTCACGCGCGATGGCTTATCAGCGTATTTCATGTATAACTTTGGTGTTTCTATACCGATTTCTATGATTCTTTTTTATTGAATAGATAATAATGTTAACTTTTTTTTAATTAGGGATGAGTGAGAGTGTTATAAACGTAAGAGTAGACAAATATAATCAGAAAGCTCCGAACTGCTAAGCTATCGGGAGTTACACGTGTTATTGTGAGTCAACCATAAAAGATAGACATATGCTTTCGTGGGATATTTTTTATATAATTTTAAGGAGAACATTTCCGTTACACATGATTTCTGTGAAGCTTTAACCATTAAGGCTGCACACTAGCTCGCACTTTTCTACAGATTTATTATATGTATAGAATAGATTTATTATTCAAAATAATGTTTTTAGTTTTTCAGTTCAAAATTGGCGCGTTTATGGAAAACCGTTGCTCTGACCACAAATTATAAAGTTGTATGCTAGTATATATACAGTAATCTATGGTTGTATGAATGTACAGTTGTTGTTTTGGCCTAAAGGTCTAGATGCCAGGCCATAAACTCCAAAAAAAAAACAGTTGTTGTTGTTGTTTTTATTATTCGCTCGAGAGAGCAGGCAAAGGAACTATGCCATACAACCTTGTCTTTATGTATAATTATCCTTCATAGTTCACTGCTTCACAATATGTTGATGCGTCACATTGTGCAGCCCTTGGGAGATTTTAACGGCAACTTGAGCCAGCAGGCAGCTGACAGTTGGCGATTGTATCTAAAGGCGCCTATGCAAACAAACAGCTTATCTTGAGAATCCATTACCATCAGAGCACTTGTTTCACCGTTTCCACTAATAGTTCACATGTGTAGACAGTTAATACATAAAATCGCACCACTTTTACATATCAAAATCCACTTCAAACTATTATTTAAACTATAATACAGGAGCAGCAAATCGCCGCCGATCAAGTTCCCGCCAAAACTCTGAAATGTGCAAGATTTGACAGATGAAAATGTCAGTGCTGCCACTATACTGAAAAAAAAAACAATGGGTGCGGTCATGGCGGTCAATGAGGGCTAATAATTTTCTGCTCGCCAGATGTCGCTACTTGACACTGACCTAGTTTTTATGTTTTACTTATGGAGTGCTCCATAGTTTTACTGAAGTTTTTATGTTACCCAATGACATTTAATTCAGAAGTTAGTTTTAAATAAAAGTATATCATTTTCTAGAGTATTATATTAACACAAAACAATTCCTCAGTGGTTTGCTCTTTAATTTCTTGCACATTTTTAACTTTTCTAAAATGTTTCTTTTATGAATATCTGTGGCTTGGTTTTTATTTTTAATCTAATTAATAGAATAGAATAGAATAATTTTTATTCAATATAGATCACATGTGTAATTCTTATTGATTCATTTTTTACTTTACCACTGGTTCGAAAAAAACCTCTGTCCTGGGAAGAACCAAATATAAAATATAGCTAATAATACAGAAATAAACATTAACCTTTACATTTTCCGAACTAATTTACTTTCCCGCTATGAAATCTGTCAAATATTTCACCTCACTTTTATGTGGCGCCGCCCTGGTGGCAGAAAAATTCACGATGCCCTCATTATACAAAAAAAAAGGAAAAATAGCGAAAATTAGCGATAATAATCTTCCGCTCACCGGATGTCACTAGTTTTATTTTTTTAGAATAAGGGTGAGTTGAAGTTTTTTCGTTCATAATATCATTTTATTGAGAAGTTAGTTTTAAATAAAAGTTTAGTTTTTAGAGTAATATAATAATACACAAAACAATGCTTCAGTGGTATGCTTTATTTATTTTTAATATAACTAATAGTATTGAAAGAGACATTACCCTTTTCGAACAAATTAACTTCAACTTCCTCGCTATGAAATAATCTGTCAAATATTACACCTCACTTTTAAGTGACGCCCACCTGGTGACAGAATAAATTCGTGAATCATGAAGTTACCGATCTTCCTATATAGGACAGTAATTACTTTAGTATGTATACAGTAATCTATGGTTACTTTGCACTTCAAAAGTTCAACACTGGGGAGTTTTGGCGGGAACTTGAACGGTGGATAGCTGCTCTTGTATTATTGTTTAAATAATGGTTTGAAGTGGCTTTTGATACGTAAGTACGATAAGTGGTGCGATTTTGTGTATTAAGTGTCTGCGCATGTATACTATTAGTGGAAACGGTGAAACAAGTGCTCTGATGGTGATCTGATTCTCAAGATAAGTGTAGTAAGTATAGTGGTAATTATTTATGAGCAAGACGTATTATGGTTTGTCCGAATTGTAACTACGATATAGGTATTGATGGTATAGTGCGATACACTTTTTATACAAAAGAGCAAGTTGAACTGCACTCGCACTATTATTTTTTTAAATAACTTTGTTAATGTAATTGAAAAATTTAATATCCGAACGAATGTTCATATTTCATAATCTTTTTTATAGAAAGGTAAACAAGCACGCAATCCATCTGATAAGTGGTTGCTGTAACCCATAGACATAGACACCTGCATTTGTCCTTGATTAAAAATGTAAACCCTGCGGGTAAAGGGTAAGACTATAGTAGAAATCGAGCGTTTAGCGAGGCGTGCAACGTAGCGTTATGACAAACTATTGTACTGTTATTGTGCGAGTGTTGTCCTTCACCAGTCGTCCCGAGTCACTGTGCTAAGGCCATAACATGTTGGACTAAAACTGTAAAATTGCCTACCCAAATAAATATATGTTGAGGAATAGCCTATTGTCAACTGTAACGATATAATTTTATAATAAAAATATGTAATAATAATTTATACGACATCTTTTTACTTGTTCAAAATGAGTCTTAATAACCTATTAGAAAACTTCATTTTGTTTTTGAAGTTTTAAGTCTTATCTAAACATGCATTTTCTGTGAACTATTAAAGCGCATGTAACCTCTTACAATACAATAACTTAAGATTTACCATATTAAGCAAAGTATGAAAATAATTTGCTGTTTAAATTATTTTTCTCTATATTTTTGAATAAATGTCGATGAACATGGAGTACATTACAATCGCCAGATTTCGGTAACTTTATGATTAAGCTCAGAACTGAAGCAAATTCTATGATCAATAAAATGTTGAAACATAAACAAATCAACAAATATATATATATATATATATATATATATATATATATATATATATATATATATATATATATATATATATATATTGAAAGGACATGGGTAATTAAATTTGTAACTCAAAACAATTGTTAATAATTCTTATCTTCTTTATTAGCCTATAATCTTTATACAATAGTGAAATGTTCAGGGGTAGTACAGTGGAACAAAAACAACGGTCTATAATGATCACATAATTATATTATAAAATGATTTAATTACAATAAACAGAATAAGTATCATAATGTACCTACACTACAAACAACTTACAATTATAAACGCAGAAGCGGACAAAGATGTACTCTTCTCTTGTATTTACATTTTGTACATTGAGCGCTTATCGTAATACTTTTACGTCCATCGCGTCTCTACACTCGATAATAAATAGTGCGTGTGTCGGGTTAAGGGGAGGGAGCGGGAGAGGGAGCGGGATGGGTGTAGGGGAGCGCGTCGCCGCTTCTATGTTATATGGTACAGGTGCGGTGGTGCGCGCGGCGGCTATGTACACTACAACTGCTCGACGAACTTGGTGAGCTGGTCCTGCGGCGTCATGGGCGGCGGCTGGTCGTCGGGCGCGTGGTGCGGCGCGGCCGGCGCGGGCGACTGCCGCAGCAGCAGCAGCTCCGACGGCGTGGGCGGCCGCGGCGACGGCGTGGCGGGCGGCGAGCGCTGCAGCACGCCCACGCCGCCCACGCCGCCCGGGAAGTAGCGCGCGCCCAGCCGCGGCGCGCCGCCCGCCACGCCCGCGTACGGCGCGCGCATGCCCAGCATGCCGCCCGCCACGCCCGCCACGCCGCCGCCCTGCTTGAACCAGCCGCCGCTCGCCATGCCCACGCCCGGGCCCGACACGCCACCCATGCCCACGCCCGAAACACCGCCGACAGCGCCTCCCACCTGTAGAACAAACGTCTCCTCTCACTCACATTGCAACTATTGATACCTAATGTACCTCCTGGTTTCAACGCAGACTAGCCCTAGGACAGAATTGTAGTTCACCAGCATGTTAGCAAACACACAGGTTCACAAAACGAATATGTGGAGGGTAAGTTGTTGAATAAATGCGTGCCTATTGCCTACAAAACCAATAAATAACTTAACATGCTTCCCGAAACACGAGGGTGAGTTTCTCGACAGGAAAACCTGATAACTGATTTTAACTAGACCCATCATACAAAACCACCACCACTTGAAACTTAACCACTTGAAAATCTAAATATCCAAGGCAAATAAAATAAAAATTGTGAGTTCTTTACTAACTGAGATAAACATGACCTATATAATAAACTCTGAATCAAATAAAAGGAGCTAAGCACTGTATGACATGCAGGCAAGTCCTCACTAATGTATAAAAAAAAAGGATTTTTCAAAAAAACAAAAGGTTCATTGTCATTATCATATTACCAGCCTATCATAATATAGGTATCCCCCATAGAATTCCTTATGATATAAGGGCTTGCATCATTCGTGAAAATGCTTGGAACATTTATAATTTAACTCATGGAACAAATGATCCATTTCTAGTTTTGTACCTGGTTGCAGCCACTAAAAACTAAGTATATGCTTTTAGGATCAAAAAACCAAATCAAATTTTTAGAAAATCAAAACCTTAAAATCATCCCTCCGGAGCGTATAAGTGAAGCTCGTAACCTCGGTTTAGTTATGGATAGCAGACTGCGTTTTGAAAAACACGTACTCAAGCTTATCCGCAACTGCTTTTATAGGTTAAAGGTGTTATATAGAATCCGCAAATACATTCTCTCGTTCTTTCAAAATTGAACCACTGCATTACAGTGTATGGACCCTGTATTTTGAAAAAGTCACAATGACTAATTTAACATATACAAAATGCATGTGCACGATACTGCTTCTCAATACCAAAACGGTCCCATGTAACACCTTTTTTCAATGAAGCAGGTATTATGAAAATGAAAGCGCGACAGAAACTATACCTCGCTAATCTATTTGATGTTGTCAAAACTAAGTCACCCCTATATTTATATGATAAACTTATATGGAAAAATCGACAAAACATCATTAGGTCTTGTACAAACCCGCTTGCCAATCCCACTTACTGTTCTACAAGCAATATATAACTACAAGGTGCTGGAACGACATTCCTCCACCTATTCGTGAGTGTAATTCAAAGTACAATTTTAAATACCACTATAAAAATCATTTATTACACTTACAAAAAGCTCAACCTTGAGCCTTTCTTCCAGCATCACTGAGCATTATATGTTTGTTTTTAGTGTGTATTTACAAAGCTTATTTTTATATATTTTTTTTAATTTTTTATTTTTATATGGAATATAATATGATATGAATATATTTATGTATAATATGTCTTGTATGTATGTATGTATGTGTCCCTAAATGTATATATAGGTATATTTATGAGCAACGAAATAATTCAATTTATAAAATAATTATTGAAATGTATGTCATAAACACTTCCAGGCGGATCGTGTGTGTATCTGTGGTTATGGCAGATTCATCAGCGCTGTAGGTTACCCTGCAGCATTACGCTGAGTCATAACCTTTTCACTGGTTCGATACACTCTTGAATTTTAATCTACCATACTTTTAACTTTTTATTTTTGAGATGTGTACAGTTCCAGTGAATAAATGTCTTTCTTTCTTTCTTTCAATCTTTCTTTCAGCCTCATCCTGAATGATAAACTACCTGCTGATGATAATTTATGGACATTGACAGTGACAATGAGGATAATATTTTGTCATTCCCAATATTTTTTTGGAATTTACGGATTTTTTTATTTTTATATGATTCGAAAATGATATAGCTTATACAACGAAAATATAACTTAAATTTATCATGCTTAAAGATTACCTATTACAGCAACGTGGCGGTGGGGGCGTTAGGGATTCTAACACTCCTACGATGAGGCTATTATATAAAAGACCAGGAAGACTTTTTGGCAGCGATTTACTGCCATTTAACGTGGTATAGCCACGGAGCAGATAATGAGTAGGTTCGACCCGATAACAAGGCTCGGTTTACAAAGATACTTAGAGATGTTCGGCATCCTGATGTCGTAGTTAAGCCAGCTTTAGCTTTTAATTTTTTTTTTGTCCAATCTACACAGAACTAGCTTATTAGTAGTTTATTTGGGTTTGAATATAATTTTATTAATTTTGGGGTCCCATGCAGACTGTAAGATGACTTGCATCTTCTCTATTCAAGCCTCACAATTTGTCCTTTGTAGGAATCGGTGTCCTTCGTCGCGAGTATTTGTAGTATATTTTATTCTTGTATACTTTACGTCCTCTAGGAGGAAAAGTAGGTGCTCACAGTGAAAAACTTTTCACATAGTAAGTGACTTATGCAGGATATTATAATAAAAAGACAATGCATATCCTGAATTTGCTACTTGGAAAAATATCACTAAACTTTACTTGGGTAAGCAATATAACAAGGATATCACATACCTGAGTCTGTTGCGGCAGCATCTGATGCATCTGCAGCCTTTGCTGCTGCGGCTGCATCATGTGCTGCAGCTGCGGCTGCTGCTGCACGCCGCCGCCCAATCCCACGCCGCCGACGCCCACGTTTCCAACGCCGCCAACGTTGCCCACGTTTCCTACGCCGCCGACTCCGCCCACGTTTCCAACCGGGCCAACGCCACCGACTCCACTGGCGGCTTGTTGCTGATTTTGGGCGTTCTGAAAATTAACAAATATTTTTTTTATCTATACAAATAAATAAAATTGAAGTGTCTGTAATGTCAAAATAACAGCTTTTTACTAAATGCATATGAAAGCATATACGGTACTTATAACAAAAATACATTTTTTTAAATTTTTGTCTGTCTGTCTATCTGTCTGTCTGATTGTTCCGGCTAATCTCCGAAACGGTTGGACCGATTTCGACGAGACTTTCACTGGCAGATAGCTGAAGTTATAAGGAGTAACTTAGGCTACTTATATTTTAGAAAAAGAATTAGGGTTCCGCGCAACATAGTTAAAACCCTAAATTACACGCGGGCGAAGTCGCGGGGAACAGTGGATAAAAGGCCACAATCAAACAGCTTTCTGTAAAATTAATATAGATATAGATTATGGATATAGACATATCCATAATCCCAGATCGTCCTATGAGTGTCGTAGCGGCGGCAGAGGAAAATTGAAAGAAGAAATAGGCAGCAGCATCTTCATAATAAAAAAAATTATAAATGCTCTCTCCTACCGGGCATGGCAACTATAGCAAAATCCCCCCTATGAGGCAATCTATGGGGAAGGCCTGTGTTTAGCAGTGTATTTTTATAGGTTGTAATGAATAATGGAAGCAAAATAAAAATAATTTAACTCTAAAAGGTAGATTTCCTTTTCCAATGTGTTATTAACTATTTTATGGACGTTAAAATGTTTCTTTACCAACATATTTGTTTATATTTTTGAGAGTGATTGTAGAGATCTGTCATTGTCAACTACTACCTGGAACGCTATAATCACCAGTCATTAAGAAGATGAGCAATCTATATTGTAATGTTTTGAAATGGTCATTATACAATCTATCATGTAATAAAATTTATTGACATAATCCTTCAGTGTATTTGATGGCACTACATGATAAATTTTTTATAGGATAGGGTGACACAAACGAGCACACAGTCCACCTGATGGTAAGTGGTTGCTGTGACCCAACATCTACATCTATCAAAATGCAGATGCATTGTCACCCGTGAGGACTAAGATGGAATGCCTCTTTTCAAGTAAAAAGGGTCTCCGGTTCTCTACACTCACCATACGAAACATACACATACAGCAGTGTAAAGCTGCTATTTTACGCTGGTATTCTGTGAGAGCGTGGTCCTTCTCCAGCCGACCCATTCGTGCTACAACTATACTACTAATGTAGTTGCAGCATTGCTCTACCACATGAAAATGAAAAAAGGAATTTGAGAAGGTATGACTGACTCACTTGTCTTTGCTTGATAAATGCTGCCATTAAAGGAGGATTTGACTTGAGTATCTGTAGTATCTCCTGCTGCTGATTGTGACTTGTAGGTGAGCGCAGCGTTGCCATGAGTTGCTGTAGCGCTTTCTGATGCACTTGAGGTTGCGTTTGTTGCTGTTGAGGTGCTGGCGCTCTTTGCTGCAAAAGTAATTAAGATATGGATACGATTAGATATGTTATTTCAGGTAATTTATATTTACATCATAAGCAAAATCTTTTTTTTATCTTTTTACTTTAAAAAACGGATTTTCTCCTGTGTCGTGGAGGCAGTTTACAAACATAAATTGCACGAGAACAAACATCCAGACCCGGAACAATTATTTGTAGGCCATACAAATACTTGTTCCGTGCGCGATTCGATCCTGCGGCCCCCAACGCAACAACTCATTGCTAAGCCACTGCGCCACGGGGGCGTCTAAAATAAATAAACAATGCAAATTAAATGCATCATAAAACTAAAAGAAAGATGCCAGTAGTATGTAGAGGGGATGTATCTTATTCATTTGGTTTATTTTTATTGTGGTGACCTGTATCTCATATCTCATGCATCTGTATCTGTTGCACGGTATACTGTCTTCTGCTAGTGTAGGGACACATATTAGCATTAACGACACTCCACTGCTCATGTACAGTCGCGCACTAACAACTGTGTGCTTGTGTACTCTATCTGCAAAACTGTACCTTGCGTACTTGCCATCTACGACACTCACCTGCTCGTATACATTCGTGCATCAAAAATTGTGTCCGCACAACTATAGTATTTTTATCTCACTTTGGCGTATTTTTTAAATTGTAGTGTTCGGGAATATTGCTCATTGTTTTAGTGTGTGTGAGTTCGAGTCAAAAATGACTATCGAGTACCATCAGAACAGAAAGTATAAGAAGTAGTAAATGTTTGTTTTAGTAATGTACGAAAATAATTAATGGGCCCTTTATCTTTGTGAAATAAAAAGTTTATACGCAAGCAAGCATCTGGATATGGTGCGCGCGAGGAGCTAGTTGCGTACCGGTGTACAGTGGCTATGTGTGGAGTGCGTGTTGCGGCTGAGCGCGATCAGTGCGTATTGGCAGTGAGGGTGACGGCGAGGCGTACCTGCATCTGCTGCGCCGCGAGCGGCTGCTGCGGGTGCTGCGCGAGCTGCGGGTGCTGCGGGTGCTGCGCGTGCTGCGGCGCGTGGTGCGGCAGGCGCGCGTGGTGCGGCGCGTGGTGCAGCGGCGGCGGCGCGCGGTACCGCGGCGCCCACTCGGCCCGCGCGCCGCCGGCGCACCCCGGCGGGCCCATCGCCGGCTGCTTGCCGTACGACGGCGCCTGCTGCCGCGCTGCCTCCTCCTGCACCTGGTACACGACACGACCACACGTCATTCAAATATCATCAGATCGTTACAAAAAAGGGGAATAAACAGTGGATTTTGTTAGTTTTTATTAGAGCTTTTGCAACAGATGTTAGATTTTTTTATAATACAAAATAGCTGTTCCCCGCGACTTCGCTCGCGTGTTAGGATTTTTATTTTTTTGCGCGGAACCTTAATTATTTTTCTGAAATAAAAGCAGCCTACGTTACTCCTTATAACATCAGCTATCCAGCCGTTTCGGAGATTAGCCGGAACAAACAGACAGACATAAATTTAAAAAATTGTATTTTAGTCATAAGTACCATATTTACTTTCATATGAATTTAATAAAAAGCTGTAATTTTGACATTACAAACAAAACACTCCAATTTTATTTATTTGTATAGATAATTTTAAACAAAGGAAACTACAGATACACCTATGAGGAAGAATAAGATGGAATGCCTCATGCCCTGTATTTAAATTGATTGATTTGGCCTTGCCGGAGTTGACAGATCTATACTCTGACACACGACAGTGTGCGCGTTACTTTTTACCTACCTGGTCAATTTCGACGTTCACATGAAATTTAATAAAGACTATGTTACACCTAAGTCAAAAATATTTAACATAGAAATTCAAAGCAAATAAATTTTGCTATATGTAGAGACCTGCAATTTTACAAATTTAGTTTCTTAAGAAATAAGATGCTTATCATGAAGCATTAGATGCCTATGCCATAAGTACCTCACTCATAATCATAATTTGTTAAATAATGGTAGTCCCATAACAATTATGCACAATGTTTCCATATTCTTCAGACAGCAGTGCAAACACTTGTATTTGTCGACAGAAACAATACAGATAAGAATGATATCTTGTATATGGTATAATCCAATAAAAGTGTAAGGCTAAGGTATAAAAAACAAGTGTTTGTACCTGCTGCAGCGCCTTCTGCACGTTGGTGGGCAGCGCGTGGGCAGCGTGCGCGGCGTGTGCGGCGTGCGCGCCGTGCGCGTTGGGCTTGGCGGGCGTGCTGGCGTGCGGCGGCGAGCCCAGCGGCGCGCCGGCGTGCGGCGGCGACCCGCCCGCGCAGCCGCCGCGCGTGTTCATGGCGGCCATGCGCCGCCGCAGCAGCTGCTGCTGCTGCACGCGCTGCTGCACCTGCTGCTGCTTCAGCTTCTGCTTGATGCTGCTGCAGAACGGCACCGAGCACTTCGTCTCCTGGCAGTGCTTCGCGTGGTAGCAGCACAGCGCGATCAGCTGCTTGCAGATCGGACAGTCGCCCTTCGTCTTCCGCTTGCAGATCTTCGTGTGCGTTACCACTCGCTTCATCTTCTGACACGACGGCAGCCGGCAGTTGGCGTCTCGGCACTGACACGCGTGAACCAGCGACTGTATACACCTTTGGATGGATAGTTTTCGCGCCTCCTGCGGATTCGCCTGCTTCATATCTCCTGGCGATGAACCGACGTCGATGTCCAATCCGAGTTTCTCCATTTTGTGCGGATGGCCCTCTTTCTCATAACAAGGCACGCACAAGTCGAAATCGTCACAGACAGTACAGTGATACCTCGTCTCGACGTGTGACTTGCAACTGTTGCATGTGTAAACGAATTTGTCTTGGCCTTGGTTGTGCAGTTCGTATAACATACAAAGCGTAGAAAACCTCGCCCGCCTCGTCGATGAAAATTCGTAATGCCTGTCTCTCGCCATTGTTAGAAAAGCGTCGCGACCATCCATGAGGTCGCAATTAGCTAATGGATCTGGGTCTTGGATTGGCTACAAAATAAAAATAATAAGTATTATTAAGAATTCGCTTTAAAAGTACTATGTAGAAAATATTAAAGATAATATAATATATAAAATAGTAAAGCTGCTGAATTACTAAATTATTTATTTGTATTACATATTTTACTTTATTCTCCCCAAAGTAATTGTAAAATTTAAGTGAATATGAGTATTAATATCATTCATAAAACAATGATCAATAATATCACTATATATAACTAATTATACTAATTCATTTATTTTAGGATGAGATTTTATGTAAACGAAACATAAAATAGGTTCTATATATACTTGCAATCGACGATTGGAAATTTACAAATAAAATATATTTAATGTATAAAATCACAAAAAATTACTTATTAGTTATTTATTTATAAAAGAAATATATTTAACTTATACAAAAATGCACATTGAGTGTTCTAAATTGACCTATAATTACGTCCAACTTTAAGTCTTTATTTAAAATATTTACGAAAAATAGATGAAGAGAGAACAAAAACGTCAAGCAGGTATAGTATAATATTTCCAAAGAAAATATTGTCTGAATGAAAAAAATATTATATTAAATGTTTTTGTATCTTTTGTTTTATTATAATACATATTATATTATCCAAAATCATATAGTAAAATTGTGGTATACGTTTATAATATACATAGTGAAGTTTTTGTAATATCATAGTTTTAACACAAGTACAATTAAGATCGAAAATGTTTGAGAAATAGTCTTTTTGTGTTTCATAAAAATCATGCTAAATTGAACAGGTTATTGTTAAATAGACAAAACACTTACCGCTAAGCTTGCCGCTGACTGCGCGGAATGTAGCCTTATAACAAAGAACACTTCCTTATGTTTTTCCATGGTTGCAAATATTTTTGCACTGAGATCACTACCCTGCTGTTGGTCGCTCTGCTTCTTACTGTTCTTTCTTTGAGCGGCCTTGGATTTGTTCGACTTTTTTGCTTTCTTCTGACCTTTCTTCTTTCCGTCAGGCCCTTGTTCATTTTCTTCAGAAGACTGGAATATCTAAAAGCATGTTAGGTATGTTCTCTTATCTTGTAATATAAGAGTATAAGTAATCAATTTTAATTATAAGATAATCAAGAAGTTTGGTATTTAAATTATTATCATATTTTATGATTATTGTAGAGACTGAGTTTATTTCAAATGGGAAAGAAGAGCAAGTCATAATATTATACTGACCACAGCTTCAGCGGCTTCAGCCTGCTTTCTCTTTTCCTCTTCTTCTTGATCTAGCTCCTTGATAGATTCCTCTAAGACGTTCGGCCAGAAATCTCCCTCAAAGTAAGGGAGCTCCGCTGCTGAAGAGATATTGTCCTCCATTGCTTGCTTAAGAATATCTTTGTAATCTAATATTATTCTCTCTATGATACCCTTATCTAACATCTTTTTGTACCACTCTTGTAACCTCTTAGGTTTAGGTATCTTTTGTTCAGGCGGATGGCAGTGAAAAATGTAATCGTCGCCTTCAGAGGGTGGACAGGCCCATATGTGGGCCATTGTGTAACCCAATTGTTTAGCGTAATCCAAATAACCTAATAAAATCTCATGATATACAGCAGTCCTATACTGCCGAGGTTGGAAGAAATGAACAGAATCTAGATATGCTATATAAACTCGCCTCGTGTTAGGCGACGGACTTTCGCTGCCGTATTCCTGAAAACAATTTCCGTATTAAACAACTATTTATCAGAAACAGTATGTTTCTAACTAAATTAAGGGATATAATTGAGACAGGTCTTACCTGCACGTGCATCCCAAAGAAACAAATATCAGCCCCATCAACCTCTTCAAATGCAAACAGTGCTTTCGCCCGATACGGGAATTCAGCACACAACTCTCCTGATTCTACAAATCTAGACCTCATTCCAGGCTTGACTTCTACAATCTAAAGAGTAAAAAAAGAACATGTTAATATTTATTAATAAATGTGTTTAGTCATAGTTAGAGTAAACTGACACAAACATACTTTATCAGACGACGCGACAACTCTGATATGAACTTCGCCTGCACCAGCCTCTTTCTTCTTTAGAAAATTATTGACTCTTGTCTCAATATAAATGCCAAGTTTCGAAGTGGGCAACTTCTTTGCACAGAATTTGTTCTCTTTCCGTTTCGCCCCTTTCTTCTTCAAACAATTATCACAGCAGAAGCCTTGGGGCCAAATTTGGTCATGGTGAAGCACACATATTTGATGCTGCTTTCTACCACAATCCATACAGATAACAAATGGTTCTTGTTCTAAATGATCATTCTTCATCTCCTTGAATTGATCTTTCTTGATAGCTCTGAAAGTTTAAATATTGTTAAAATAGCATCCAAAAACAATGCTCCCCAAGAACTTTACTTTTAAACTTTATTTTAAATTTTTGGAAACTAAAATACTTTTCAAATAAATTTTTAAATTCACAAATATATTTCATTTTAATTACTTGCAAATTTAAAATTTTAAACAAAATAAAATCGGATAATTTTCTCAATGCAAATGTGTATTTATTTTGATAATATTTAATTTAAAAACTAAGATGTATATAATTAAAAATTTCACTTACGTTTGTGGCTGTAGCGGATCGTCTCCCAACGTGACGGTGTCGCCCTGGATGTCATTGAAGCATTTCTGGCAGAAGGTGTATCTATCGGACACAACCCCATATGCTTTTAGACTATATTGCACAATTTTCATCCGTAGCGTGTAGCGATGGTAGTGATGTGAAGCGTGACAGGAACGTTTTGTGTGCAGACAAGGATGTGCGTGGAGAGGGCGAAAAAAATTTAGTAAGCAATGATAACATAAAAGGGATTAGTTGTTAGACAGTTCACAAATATATATTAGGCACAATAATACAACATTTTCTTACAATACTTTGAGCGCAGCATAGCCGTAGGGTCAACTAGCGGATTAATAGCAACAGAATACTGCTCTCCTCTACATAGGCCTTATTTGATAGATGTGTACTTTTTGAAATATAATACATAAGCAAAGAAAATATTTTCTTTGCTTATGTATTATATTTCAAAAATATATATAACAGTGTCGATAGTAATCGGTATGCCTAGGCTTTATTCATCCTAACGTACCTACATCCATACCATAGTTAAAATGTTTTAGAAACAAAGATATTTAACTTTTCTAAGCATATAGAGATGTTTTTGATAAATTAATGAACAAGTAAAATGTATGGAGTACTACATTGGTTAAGGTTGCCGTGAATATGGGTTTTTTTTTTTTTTTTTTATAGGAGAGGGGGCAAACGAGCATGCGGCTCACCTGATGGTAAGTGACTACCGCCGCCCATGAACAACCGCAACACCAGGGGAATTGCAGATGCGTTGCCGGCCTTTTAAAAAGGAGTAGGCTCTTTTCTTGAAGGTCCCTAAGTCATATCGGTCCGGAAAAATCGCTGATGGTAATCGATTCCACAAGGAAGTCGTGCGAGGAAGAAAAAATCTTCTAAATCGCACAGTGGTGGACCGCCAATCATCCAGATGGTGTGGATGGTATCGGGAGTTCTGCCGCGATGTGCGTTCATGAAATTTGGCGGCTGGGATTAATCCGAACAATTCCTCAGAGCACTCCCCATGGTAGATGCGAAAGAAAATGCAAAGAGATGCAACATCTCTTCGCAGTGCCAATGAATCGAGCCGATCGGAAAGGGCTCGGTCGTCGACGATTCGAGCCGCTCTGCGCTGGATGCGGTCAAGTGGAAGGAGCTGGCACTGGGGAGCCCCTGCCCAGAGATGGGAACAGTATTCCATGTGAGGCCGAACCTGCGCCTTGTAAAGTTGCAGGCGGTGTGCCGGCATGAAATACTGTCCCGCTCTGCTGAGCACGCCAAGCTTTTTAGAGGCCAATTTGGCCTTCTCTTCCAAGTGACCACGAAACTGCACGTCACTCGATATGTCGACTCCGAGGATACCGATACTGGCTGAGGCAAGAAGGGGAGTGCCTTGAAACTGAGAAGATACGACAAAGGGGTTCTTTTTAGCGGTAAACGCGCAAACTTGTGTCTTCTGAGGATTAAACTGGACTAGATTTAGTCGCCCCCAATCCGAGACTTTGTCCAGCAAAGACTCGACTTCAGACACAAGTTTGTTCCGGTACTCGGCGACGTTTTCCCGAGAAATATTGGCCCGGCCGGTGTATAGAGCATCACCAGTGCTGTCATCCGCATAGCAATGGTGTGATAAAAGAAGTAAATGTGGATAAAGTTAGAATGATTGTTCAAGATATTAAGGATTGTGGCAACTATCGAGGGATAAAGCTCATGTCTCACAGGTTTGAAAGAGTGATTGTGAGACAACTGTGGGAGGAGTGAGGTAACACAGAACCAATTCGAGATTATGCCAGGACGTGGTTCAATAGATGCTATCGTTGTAAATCGCCAGCTTTGCGAAAAATACAGACATGTACATAAAAATCTCCACTATTCTGCACACTCTCTCAAAAGCGTACAATAGGTTTCCCAGAAGGTTATTTGGTTAGCATTAAAACAGAAAGAAGTGCCATGGAATTATTTTCAGCTTATCTGTGTGGTGTGTAGCAGAGACAGCACGCATGTTCGGTCTGATGCTGGAACAACCAACAAGTTCAATATCGCTATGGGCTTGCACCAGGTATCAGCTTTATTTGTTCCTTCTGGGTAAAGGAAACGTTGACATTTGACATACAGTAGGGGATATCCTGGTGCATGCTGTTTGTTGACGATATTGTTCTTGTTTGGGGAAAATGCACTTAAGGTCCAGAGTAGACTGGCAGGAGAGATTAGAGTGTCGGATTGAAGATCAGTACAACCAAAACTAAGCACCTGTTCAGCGACTTTGTTGGTGCTTCAAATTTCCTTAGATGGTATATCCCTAACAGCCCGGTCAGAGTTTCGGTACCTCGGTTCGTTGATACTGAATGATGGCGAGATAGACAGACGTAAGGAATAGAATAAATGCGGGATGAAATGGCGACAGGTAACAAAACCACCTCTATAAGACAGTTAGTGGAGGAGGCCTATGTTTAGATGACTTTTATAGGCTGCGATGAATGGATGAATACTAATACAAGATAAATTTTGATTATTTATTTCGCGAAGTATAATGAGTGAATAAATAAGATTAGTATTAGAAATTAGTTTGCCATGGACATGTAACGTAAAATTTAAATAATTTAATAAATATAGTTAACAGTTAATATTTATTTTATATTCATTAATTCATTACAGCCGTTCCTTCACAAATCCACAGCTAAACATAGGCCTCCCGCAAACAATGTCACAAAGTACAGTCCTGAGTTAATTTAATTTTAAATAAAATCTTGTTTTATTTTAAATACATATAAATAATCCTTTAAAAAAATGTTTTCTTCAATTAAATCCAACAACTTATAAACGCATAGATGTAATATAACTGTTTTTATAGGAATACCAGAATACTTTAATTTTATAGTCGTACAGATTGTAGAGTGTACGGGCATCAAGTGCTGTAATATTTTACAGCTCTAGTGACCTGCATTGTTTTAGATGTAAAAATTATTTTGCGTCATAGCAATTCATTATTGAGGTAACATAAACCTCAAAATTCATGTTATATGAAGCATCACATCAAATTTATGGAAACATGTTTTTTTTTCAAAACGATTAAAAAATTCATTGCGCAATGTTTGTAATAGCTCTTAATTTGTAGATAATTGATATAATCGCTGCTAACTTTTGTTTAATCATTTTTTTAATTTTTAAGTTTTCACAGTAGATTATTCCTCTGGTACAGTGATATGTATTTGTCATGACGTAAAAAATATATAATAAATGGAACATAGTAAAATATAAAAAAATTAAATATGTACTTTGTTTCTAAAACATTTTTTTTTCTTGCAAGATATGTACTATACACATTTTGAGTCCCTCTCAGAGTTCCAATTTATGACTAATGTTAAGTCAAAAGTTTGTAGTAAAATTAATTAAATTTCCATGAACAAATACATTTTCTTCTTATAATATAATAAGCATTTGAATTCAAAGTTCAATATTTATTTTATAATATGACAGCCAAAAAACTAATAACATTTTCTTGGGGAATAAATAATAACATTTTAGATGTAATTGTGAAAACATCCAAAAGTTGGATTAAATACAATATACATGCCGTCTTGATTTGAAACCCTTTAAGAGTGGTTATTGCTAATCCTAATGTCTTGATCACAAAAAATGAGGCACAGTTTACCGCTTTATGCAAATTAGATATTAGTAAACACTTTATGAAGAAGCAACTCTCATTTCACGACTAATTCTTACATTATCAAACCCAGTTCAATTTAGACCATAAGCAATAGATAAGACAGCAAGCAAGTGGGAAATAAGCATTGACATGTCAAGTTGTCAAATATGGCCCTGCACACACATTCATAGTTATTTTTATCAGTATAGTTTAAAATAGTAGTTTCATATATTTTTTATTTTTGTCATATTTCGCATGTGGAAGAAAGACAATCAATAGTAGCATACATAGATTTCACCCTTACATAAGTTTTTCTTTTCTCTCTTGTTGCTTACTGAAATTTTTTTGTTTGTTATTTATTATTATATATTTATTTTATCTTTTAAATAAAATAGTAAAAGAGATAAATGAGAGAAAAGTCATAGTTCTTGGAAATAAAAGGTAAAAATACTTTTAGTGTTACATAGAGAACTTACTGGTGTGCATATATGGATATTCTACAATAATTTACAGTTATAAATTCCATACATATGGGTTTATTATCACAAGATCAACTGCTGAACATGGAAGTTTACTCCAGTAAAGAGGATTGCTAAGAATACTGCAGATAATTTCTTGATTTATTATTCCCTCTGTTCATTTTTTAAAAGTCAACATTTTTGTCAAAATTATCTTTAACTGCAGTAATTCCATTTTTAGTAATTCCAAAATACCACTTTGTTTTATATGATTGTCTTTTTCCCCCTTATCAAATCTGGAATAAATGTACAGTTGACTGCAGTTAATTTATCTTCTTAAAACAAAAATTAAGTGAATAGAAATTGCAATCTTTAAACTAACTACAATACATGAATATGACTTAATTTTTCTGTACAGTCAATAGTACATTTAATCTTAGTCACATAAATTAATCTGTACACAATTCTGTTGTCTATACTATAAATATTAAGTTAATTTCAAATGAAACCAGAAACATTGCAAATAACACAAAATAGCACCATACCATATTACACTAATGTCATAAAGATATAATACGTTTGTATTATATTTGTATTACATTTCCCTAATAATATACTAACTTTTATTAATTTTGTGTACATAATTTATTCACCACTTCAATAATTGATCAAGTGATTACTTAATGGAATTGGTATGTTGTAATAATTTCGATATTATATTTAGTTTAGTTTAGGACGGGCTGTTTTCCGCAACTCCACATCTATACGCGTATTTTGCGTGACTTTAGATATTATATTATGTTCTATTCGATTTATGTAATATAATTTTTGTAATAATATTTATTAGGAATTTTTAAATATTTAGGAATAAAAGTATTTTTATAGACATTAAAAAATATATTTTTTTTTATTTGTTACTCAACATTGAATAGCCTCCATAGTGCAAAACATCTGGCACACTGATCTACAATCCAAGTTAGGGGTGAACTATTATTGGTTAATGAAGATTTTTATCTATGGAAATATTGTTTTGCACCCGTTTCAACCACTGAGTGTTGACTGCCTATTATTGCATTCTGAGTTTAGTAATAATAAGACTTGAATACAAAATTTTAACAAATGATTTTGATTGTTTCTGATTATTTGGTATTTCAATTATTTGTGATTTGGAGAATATTTCTTAGATTAAAAATATCAACTACTTAATGGAATTCAGTTGGGTCATAAAGCCAAATGTGACAACATATTTATATTTCATTTTAAATCTAAGATAAATAAGGTGTTTATGAGTTACAGTACTATTTTAACCCCTAAATGTTTTACAATCCAGGTGCCATCATGAGATGTCTCTTAATCAGTCAGATAGTGATTCATCGGATGATTTAAATTTACAATGGGCATTAATGGAATAAGTAATTGTAAAGTTTATTTAAGTACTATTATTTTGGTCAAGCATGAGACTTCCAACATGTCTTTCTGATTTCATTTAAAATTGTCTATTTACATGGAACAAAAACTTAATAAATATAATATTATGTTAAATGATATAATACTGACCTGTTCTGATAACTGAAGTACTTTGCATCACGAGGTATCGTACATAGTTGTTTTCCATAGCAGCAAAGCACTTGAGGATTGAATGTGTACTTCCTTCCACAACAATATCCCAGATTCTGCATTACCGGGTCAATTTCTTGCTCAAACACCTCTGATAGCTTGAATAAAAATTATTTGATATAATTAGTATAATTGCATGCTTTTCACAATACTTAGATATACCATAGAATTTAATTCTATAAGTTTACATCCTTACACTTTACATTTTATTATTTTGATTGCAAAGTAGAATGAAGGGAAATCTCTTACCTTTGTACAATACCTGTAGACCCGAGAGTTCTTCCTGTTATAAAGCCATGCATTCTCAAACATTAGCCATACATCATCCACATACTCCCATGGATCTTTATATTCACCCCTATCAAGCTTCATTTTGATAGTGGACAAGTCTATTGGCTTCGTCACAATGTCAAAGTAATCTGGAATGCCCAGAGCTTGTGCATCAACGGGCTGCCTAAATGGAAGAGACTCAGGGTCCAGACAAAATAATTTTTCTAATGTTGGCATTAAAGCCTGTCTCAATTCTTCAGGTTTGAAAACAAGCATTCTCTTTGGACCTCTATCTGTTTCGCCACTCACACTTGGAGGTCCTTCACTTGGCTCTTCTTTTATTTCTTGTTTTATTTCTTGTTTCACAACAAACTCTGTATGCCTCTCTGGCCTCTCCATAGGTTCTTTATCACTAGGAGTTTCATCTCTCATGCCTTTTCCCCCACAGTCCTCGTCAGGCTCCTCCTTTATTCCTACTTCATCAGGTTCCATTTTGACCCGAACATCTTCCGGACTGTCATCGGCTGAAGCGGCGGCATTTAATGCTGCTATTTGGGCGGAAACGGAGGAAGGGCGAGAGATAGGGCGACTCTCGGGAGCAGGACTCGGATGTGTGTGGGGCGTGGCTGGGGTCCCTGGAGGCGCAGGGCCTGCAGAGTTCGTAGGATTAGGCGACGCAGTGGAAGATTCGCTTCGGAATGCCGAATTGTTCATAAAAGGACTCGCGACCGGACCTCCTGATAAGCGCACTTTAGCCTCCTGCTGGTGGTTGGGCGAGGCGAGCGGCGCCGGGCCGTTGGTCTGCATGGGCGGGTACTGCGGCGCCGGCGACGTCATGGGCTGTCCGAACGGAGACATGCCCGGGTTGCCCACGCTGCCCACACCCACGGTACTACCACCATTCGGCGTATGCGGCATCTAAAAATACCACAAATTTGTATTAGTTTTTTCATGTTTTCATTTATTCATATATTACACAAATGCAAATTAACTACCACTAAGATAGAAATATCAATAAACAGATTGAAATTTGTATGTAAAAGTGAAAAAACATACCTGATTGGGACTGGGTCCAGGTGGACCAACAAGGTTAGTCTGGAAGGTCATGCGACTAGCGGGCATAGGCAACGGCGCCATTCCTGGCGAAGGTATTCTTAGGCCTAAACCCGGCGCACTTCCTAAACCAGGCCTCGCCAATCCCACACCGGGTCCCACGCCTGGTCCAACATTTGGTCCAACTCCCGCTCCAGGGCCGGGTCCTAAACCGGGCGCTCGCACTCCTAGAACGCCTCCCGACATTACACCTGATTGTTGTAACTGCTGCTGCTGCTGCTGCTGCTGCTGCTGTTGTTGTTGTTGCTGCTGCTGTTGTTGCTGCTGTAATTGTTGTTGTTGCTGCTCTTTTCGTTTCTGTCTTTTTTCTTCTAATTCCTGTTCCCAGATAAATAAAAGTATTAATTCGAAACTAAACTTAGTTAATTAAACAAGCAAATATAGTAATAATTTAATATAATAGTAATAAACACTTTAATATGAAAATTATTTACAAAATGAAAACAAACATCTGAGTAAGCAGATGCGTCATCGATAATCTCGTCTCAAAATTGGATATAATTCAGTTGGATAAATAATCACAGACTGATGTGCAAATATTGTAGGATATTCTTTTCTGTTTCCACATAGACACTGTATCTGTGTCCCCACCATACGCTTGAAAGGACTTAACGATAACTTTGTTACATTAAAATAATCAAGCAAGTGTTTTTCAACAGTAAAGACTGAGATCTTACCTTTTGTATCTTGTATATTTTTTCGGCGAGTAAGTGGTAGTATTCAGAACGCGTACTGGCCATTTCATACATATCGCCTTCAACTTTTCTTGCATATGCAACCAAATTGTGCATTCTTTTATCAAGCATTGCTGTTGGGTCTGGAGTCGGAAAGATAGCTTGGACCCTGTAGATAAACAGCTCAATATAAATACCGAAATCTTATCAATTTACCAGCCATATTTAACTATACTTTTAAATTGTGAATAAAATACATTAAATAGAATGGTAAAACAAATGTATTTTTTGAATTTGATAACTTTTACAGGTTTGATACTAACAGTTTATGAACAAGGTGGTTTCTGAGATCAGCTGTTATAGACTGGTGCCACTCCTTGGTTCCCGACACTGGGTTGGCGGTAACGGGTCCGCCAGGAAGTTGTAAGGTCCCAGTACTCATCTGCAATCATTCAAAATATTAATATGCTTGACATCTTAATATATTAAATCTATTACATAAAAAAAGATCTTTTGGAGGTAGCCTAATGGCAGAGTGTGGACTCCGAACTTAAAAGGTCGTGAATGACTCCTAACACAAATATTTAAAACTTACCAGGAGTGGATGGAATATTAGTAATGTAAAAATTATCTTTTTTATCAGCCCCGCGCGTTCTTGACCGAGCTGAAGTTGACTTTCAGAGACTTTTATGCACAATATCATAATCACAGTATTAAAACGGCATGTTGCATTTACAAACAATAGTAACGTCGTCGATGTCAGGGTGGTGGCCGTGGAACCACTCCTCATTGACGTGGTCATTGGCAGAAACAGAAACTTTTTTATTCAATATAGATTATAAATAATACTTATTGAAAGTCACTCTTTTGTTTGATTACCACTGGTTCGAAAAAAACCTCTGTCCTGGGAAGAACCAGCAAGAAATCCAGCGGGACTTTTTTTTTTTAAATAACAGCTTATAATCATGATGTTACACAAATTAACAACACAACAAATTAGAAATAGCTTGGTAGCGATCACCTCATTTCCAAGGGTTATTATAATCCATATATTCCTTAATATTATAATAACCCTTTTTATACAAACTTAGTTTAATAAAGTTTTTGAACTTTGAGCAGGTCAAACTTTGTACATTTTCTGGAATTTTGTTGTAAAAGCGTATACATCGCCCCAAGAATGAATTACTGACTCGATGGAGTCGAGTAACTGTTACTACTAGGTTGTGTCTGTTCCTAGTATTTACAGAATGAATATCACTTATCTTTGTAAAACTATTTTTATTTTTGTGTACGTACATTACATTTTCATAAATGTATTGAGAGGCCAAAGTTAATATATTAATTTCCTTAAATTTTTGTCGCAGCGACTCTTTAGGTTTTAAATCATAAATTGCTCTTATGGCCCTCTTCTGTAAAACAAATATAATTTCAAGGTCAGCTGCGTGTCCCCATAGCAAAATACCATACGACATTATGCTATGGAAATAGCTAAAGTAAACTAGTCTAGCTGTTTCAACACTGGTTAGATTTCTAATCTTTTTTACAGCATATGCTGCAGAACTAAGTCTGCTTGCTAGTTTTGATATACAAGGCAAGGTGGTTGGTTAAACGCAACCGTCAGATCGTTTCTGCCGCCTGGATAGATTATAGGAAAGCAATCGACTGGGTATGTTGCGTTGTAAGGTGCGCGGTAGATCGATAGTTCGAAAACAAAGGTGTAGGTAGCATATAGGAGTGTGACAAGTGACAATGAGAGTATGCATGGTGCTTACGAGTTGGTTCTGCTGTTGCTGCTGCATGTCGGGCATGGGTTGCTGTGCGTACACGGGCTGCAGCGTGGGCTGCTGCGGCGCCGCATCGGGCAGCGCGGGCGCGCGCGGCGCCGGCATGCGCGCCAGCGAGCCGCGCGCGAAGCCCAGCCCGCCCGCCATGGACGTGGGGCACGCGATGCCCAGCGCCTCGTACGCGCGCTTCATGTCGCCGGGCGCCGGCACCTGCGCGCCCGCGCCCCCGCCCGCGCCCGCGCCCACGCTCGCGCCCGCGCCCGCCCCCACCGCCGCGCCCCCGCCCCCAGACACGTTGCCACCCACCGGCACGCCCGCACCCACGCCCGTCGTCGCGTTCGACACTATCGCTGTTAAAGTTAATCACATTGTTTATACATATATTAATGGTGGCGGTATAATAAAAATCAGTAATTAATACCAATTTGTTAGATTTGACTAACTTTTTTTATTAGTATCCTATAAAAAAAAAATAGTACAATTTGTTTGAAATAAAAAAATTAAACAATTCTAATACATGAGAACCGCGTGTTTCAAACTGGAATCCTCCCCAACAACATCATAAATTTTATTATGTCAAGATTTAATGACGAAATGGTGACAATTAGTGACTTAATAATGTAGGAGATAATATAGCTCTTTTTTTGATAAGATTACTTTTTTTACTAAACACTATTTATTGTTTGCTTTTGAGATGCGATTTCTATTTTGAAATTTAATGACCAATTGTTTTTCATTTACCGAGATTGAACTTAATAATGCTCCAACGGAACGAAGTTCAAAAGGACAGGACCCAACTTTTTAGTGTTGTGTTTAGTGTCAAACATGCAGTGGACGGAAGAGGAGCGCGCGTTCGCCGTAGAGACTTACTTTATCTGTTTATTTATCTTGAACTATATTTTCCTTATATCTTAAAAAACATTCTTAATTATATGGCCATCACTGAGTAGGGATTATGAAATAAGAAATAATCAATTTTTGCAATATATAAAAAAATTATATATGGGGTCATGAGTATTAAACTCATTAACAATCCGAGAAAAGAAGGACTCTTTAATCCAAGTACCAGGTACTTTTTATCGATACCTACATATGAGACATGTTTCATTCATTCTGTAATATGGGTCATTCTACCGTGAGGTGAAATAAAATAAATAAAAATAAAAATCAACGTTTTGTTTATTTATGAAATAAAAATATTTTTTTGGTATTTAAGGAACATGTAAAAAATTATGACACAGTTAAATATACTAAGAAATTTAAAAAAAAAATAGCTTTTTCCGTTTTTAACAATAGACAGGAGTGACCACGAAATCGACAGGAATGAACATTTTTGGCCTTTAACATCAACACAAACTTCTAACAACAAATAATTAATAGTATCAGTCTTGTAATTCAGGACACATATTAACTAATCAAAGTAGTACAATAAAAAATAAACAAAAATAGACAACATAAGTGACATCATTTCTGTCGATTATTCAAAAGATTTTTTTCGTCACTTGAGGACGATAATATACGAAGTTGATTCCAATACCAATACAATCCCATTCCAATCCAATCCAATACAATATCCATTCCAGAACAAAGCTTGTCTTGGATGGATATTGTAGATGGAATCATCAGTTGCAGAAAAACTTCAATCAAAACGATTCTCTTCATCGTTTTCATCCCTTCTAGATTCAGGGTTGTCGCAGATTAATAATGTCATCACTTTCCTCGTCACTCCCGTAGCACACCTCGTAGAAATTTAATATATTATAAGTATTCGGGGTATAAGATTCCAAACTGGCGATAACGAACGCAAATTAAGATGATCCATATTTCTTGAAACTAGTGAGTCCTGGAGGGTTGGATTAGGCAAAGGAGATTTTAACAGTGACTCTGGTGAATCAGTAACAACATGTTCTGTTTTTTTTTTTGTTAAAAAGATGATTATGTGATGGAAACATATTTCATCAGACCCGTAATCAGTTATATGGCGTATAAACAAAGTACCCTTGAACGTAAATGTGGTACCTTTATTCGAAATGACAGACATATGATCGTAATGTGCCTCAACAACAGGTAATATTTGGATATTTTTTATACGATAGGGTGACAAACGAGCACACAGTCCACCTGACGATAAGTGGTTGCTGTGGCCCATAGACATCTACATTTATCCTCATTTGCTAATCAAAATGCTGATGCGTTGTCACCCGTGAGGACTAAGATGGAATGACTCTTTTCCAGTAAAAAGGGTCTCCGGTTCTCTACACTCACCATACAAAACACAGCAGTGTTAAGCTGCTATTTTAAGCTGGTATTCTGTGAGAGCGTGGTCCTTCCCCAGTCGAGCGAATCCATTCGTGCTACAACTATACTACTAATATAGCTGCAGCATGGCTCTACCACGTATAACATGCCAGTCCCTTGCAAACACGTAATTAATGATTCGCGATCAGAGATGTATCGCCCAACTACTACTTGAGCATCTCCTGTTCTCTTGACGTATCTTCCCATGCCGTCTGGGGCGCCTTGTCGCGATTTTTGTTGCATTCTCATCTTATAGCTAGCTAAACACTTTTCAAGTAGCAAAATCCTCTCTCCTAAATATTTCTTTTCGGCTCTTATTTTCCTTCGATTTTTCTCTGCAATCTGCTAGCCCATGACATTTCTTAAAGATCTGGAGCTTTGCGGTACTGGTTATAAAGGCGGTGTTTCATTTGTATGTCTAATGTCAGTTTCTCTGAGTTCCTTTTCTGTTGACGGTGTTTTCGAGTACATTCTTGCCGTTCTTTTCGTACTCGTTTTTGTATTTTTGGAGTCAGATTATTGATACCTTTATATATTTTACTAATCCCTACTCTTTCCTATTTTTGTAGTTTTTCCAACTAACCTACTATAGTATTGCTGCCTACGCCGATCCTTCTTCTTCTTCTCTTTGTATGTCAACATCCTTTTAACCACCTATAGTGTAGTGATAGTAGTAACTATAGTTTTGAAGATTTCGTGATTACTCAGTCAAAATGTGATTTAGTAGTATTTTAAAGTTTGATAGAATTTATGTCAGATCCTTGAACTATAACTAAATTTTGTTGTAAACTTTATATAAATAAAATAAATATAAATAACAATACATTAATATTTACTGTTAACGCTTAAATTTGGTAGAATTTAAATTAAAAGAATAATATACGAATTAGATTTTTTTATATAGTTATTTTTACGTGTTTTATAAATTCATAACAGCTACTTCAACACAAAATATTAAACACCTTTTTTCTCAAATTACGGGCCACACCTGGTGGAGACAACCATGGAGATAACGAACAAAATCGGCTTTGAATTTCTTATTATATAATGTAATACTTGATTTGCCCTGACAAGCAGTTTAACTGACTAATGCATAATAAAGCGGTAGTCACTTCGGTCGAGAGTCGTCATTTCTGTCGACAAAGTAGTCGACAGAATTGACTTCGACAGAACTGACAAATTTTAATCTACTTAAGTTCACAGCTACAATTTAGAGGTAATAATATCCATTGTTGTTTCGGAACTACGTGAAACCTTTTTTGTACAAGGCTGTGTGTGGCGATTTATTTTATCATGTTAGTAACCTTTTATTTTTCCTCTAAGAAGTGACTCTTCAACTTCGACACACTTGTAGAACCTCTTTTCAATTTAAAATTTTCAGCAGCTCGCTTTTGTTCCATCAAAAAATGTGACTTATCACTGACAGGTATGCACTAATACTGCCATAAAAAGCAAAACAACGTTAAAATAATAAGCTTTCTGATTCTAGTATTCAAAACTTTACATGTCAACAGTTGTGACAAAAAATTTATAACGCTTGTAGAAACATCAATATTTTTTATAATTGTGTGACATAATTTTTAAAAGTCTTTTAATCTTAATGTTAAGGACTGGTATCGTTTCAAAAATTATAAGTTTAGTTATATAGCTTAAGAATTTCTATTTTTAAATAGCCGTTAAACCTTCAGAGGGCGTCGGCGAACAGTCGACAGACCATGACACGTCACGTATTGTCGACACGTTTTTATTCATTAAATCATCACTTATCTACAAAATAATGAATGTCAAATATAGATTGTGATGTCTCATTTAATATCACAGCAAATAACGAATCAGGAAGTCGTATTCATGAAGTTACATTACGCGAACATTAATTTCTCAGGTTCGTAGAATGACCCATATGTGAGACCCACAAGATAATGTCGATCATCGAACATTACTATACTCTTTGGTCATAGGTCCTCTCAATCGTTTGATCCGAAACGTTCAAAAAATGTTATTGCAATCACCAATACTATGATGCGACCCGGGTCAAATGAACGATTTATTCACGATTGACACAACATGTCTACTACATATTACTTAGTCTAAAATAATAATAATTAACAACTATAGAAACGATTTGAAGACTGACTAAATTTTCATCCATTCCCATTATCAATACAGCTTATAAAGTGTTAGTTCTTGTTTTGTGTAATTTTGCATACAAATTTCTATAGTTAATGAAACATTTTTTTTTTTTTTTATAGGAGAGGGGGCAAACGAGCATGCGGCTCACCTGATGGTAAGTGACTACCGCCGCCCATGAACAACCGCAACACCAGGGGAATTGCAGATGCGTTGCCGGCCTTTTAAAAAGGAGTAGGCTCTTTTCTTGAAGGCCCCTAAGTCATATCGGTCCGGAAAAATCGCTGATGGTAATCGATTCCACAAGGAAGTCGTGCGAGGAAGAAAACATCTTCTAAATCGCACAGTGGTGGACCGCCAATCATCCAGATGGTGTGGATGGTATCGGGAGTTCTGCCGCGATGTGCGTTCATGAAATTTGGCGGCTGGGATTAATCCGAACAATTCCTCAGAGCACTCCCCATGGTAGATGCGAAAGAAAATGCAAAGAGATGCAACATCTCTTCGCAGTGCCAATGAATCGAGCCGATCGGAAAGGGCTCGGTCGTCGACGATTCGAGCCGCTCTGCGCTGGATGCGGTCAAGTGGAAGGAGCTGGCACTGGGGAGCCCCTGCCCAGAGATGGGAACAGTATTCCATGTGAGGCCGAACCTGCGCCTTGTAAAGTTGCAGGCGGTGTGCCGGCATGAAATACTGTCCCGCTCTGCTGAGCACGCCAAGCTTTTTAGAGGCCAATTTGGCCTTCTCTTCCAAGTGACCACGAAACTGCACGTCACTCAATATGTCGACTCCGAGGATACCGATACTGGCTGAGGCAAGAAGGGGAGTGCCTTGAAACTGAGGAGATACGACAAAGGGGTTCTTTTTAGCGGTAAACGCGCAAACTTGTGTCTTCTGAGGATTAAACTGGACTAGATTTAGTCGC